TTTCTGAGCTTTATCGACAAATCTAAGCTAGGGTTCTTCTCTGATTAGTATCGATCGGAGTCTCGCTCGTTTGATCTATGATCCGTCTAATTGAATCGCGTTAGCTCTTAACTTTTGGATCAATTTTTTGTTATTTTACTGATATTTTTTTTTAATCAAAATTCAGCGCAATGGATTGATTCCTTGTGCTCATTCTGATTCGGAATCGAAACCTTCGCTTTGATTTTTTGAGTTTGAATCGGTTTCTATTAGAGAATTCCTGCCCTTAGGATCTGCGATTCGAGTTTCGATCTTAGGATCTAATACTCGGATTCAGCTTTAACCATGTCTCTATTTTCTGGTATCGTGTGTAGATCGCCACTGCAAATGCTGATTATTCTGTGGTCAATTGTAGGTTGAAGTTAGAATTGATCCTCTGAGAATTGACGTTACACTCTGAACTTCGTTCTATTCATGTAGATCCTTCTTGATTTTTTTTATATAGAATGTGTTTCCATGAAAGGGGTGAGATATGTTGGTCATTGTCTTTCTATTATGCAACTTGGTAATCAGAACATCATAGTGCCATTAGAAGGTTGTTAATATACTCTACTGGAACTAAAGACCATATAAGAACTTAGAAGAGATGTGAATTACCTCCCATGGATCAACATGTTCGTTTTTTTTTGTCTGTGTTTTTTATCGATTTGCATAGCGTAGTTTATCTATTTCCTGGTGAAACGAGCAGATCACTGACTTAACGCATGGTAGGTTATCGTATTTGATTTGTCTGTTTCAATGTGTTTGTTTTTTTCATTTATCGTGCTTCTGGTCTGTATGAGCCTCCAAAATGTTTAGACATATAGCATATGGGCTTTTACATTGTTTCAACTATTTGATATGAGATATTTGTAAACCTTATAATTAGTGATCTGTGCTTCTCCATATTGTTTCTACGATGAACTGTGTTTTCCAGATTATTTTACTGTGTGTATTGTTCCACACATTTAACGGTTTTGCATTTTTACTTTAGTAGCTGGGAAATCATTCCGGAAACATGCCAGGACAGAAGATTGAAACAGGTCATGAGGACATTGTCCATGATGTGCAAATGGATTACTATGGAAAGCGAGTAGCAACTGCCTCATCTGACTGCACCATCAAGATAACCGGTGTCAGCAACAACGGTGGATCGCAGCATCTAGCTACATTAACAGGCCACCGTGGTCCTGTCTGGGAGGTCGCATGGGCTCACCCAAAGTTTGGATCAATCCTAGCTTCGTGCTCCTATGATGGTCAAGTCATACTCTGGAAAGAAGGCAACCAGAACCAATGGACCCAAGCTCATGTCTTCACAGACCACAAATCTTCTGTCAACTCTATTGCTTGGGCTCCTCATGAACTTGGACTATCCTTGGCTTGCGGGTCATCCGATGGAAACATTTCGGTTTTCACAGGCCGGGCCGATGGTGGCTGGGACACAACAAGGATAGACCAAGCGCATCCGGTTGGAGTCACTTCAGTCTCATGGGCACCAGCCACTGCGCCCGGTGCACTTGTGAGCTCTGGTCTGCTAGATCCAGTATACAAGCTAGCATCTGGTGGGTGTGATAATACCGTGAAAGTGTGGAAGCTCTCTAATGGGTCGTGGAAGATGGATTGCTTTCCGGCTCTTCAAAAGCACACTGATTGGGTCCGTGATGTGGCTTGGGCACCGAACTTGGGTCTTCCTAAATCCACCATAGCGAGTGGTTCACAAGATGGGAAAGTGATCATGTGGACAGCGGGGAAAGAAGATGAGCAATGGGAAGGTAAGGTTCTGAAGGACTTTATGACTCCGGTGTGGAGGGTGTCATGGTCATTGACCGGTAACTTATTGGCTGTTTCCGATGGGAACAACAATGTGACGGTGTGGAAAGAGGCGGTCGATGGAGAGTGGGAACAAGTTACTGTTGTGGAGCCGTAGGTTTTTGGTGTTTTGCGACTATATCTGCACTGAACTGAATTTGAACACTTTTCTTTCTTATCTTTTCTCAGTCTGGGTTTGTGGTCTTTTTGAGGGAATGTGGATTTGGTTTTCTCTAAATTGAATCGTAACATATGGACATTTTTTTATCTAATTCCTAGATAACTTCTTTTTTTTTTTAACCTTTTTAACACAAAATCATAACCGAGATCTTTGTTCATACTTTTTATTTCCTTAGATTTTTCTGTAAGGTTAAGATTTTCACTTGAAAGAATTTTGAATTATAGAA